GGGCCCCCCGCCCCCGGCCTGGGAGTCCAGGCCCGGCCCGGCCGCGCTGAGGCAGGGCAGGCTGTACAGCTCCCCCGGGGCCGGGCCCCCGGCCCAGAACGGCAGCTGCATCCCCCCGGCTTCCATCTTAGTCACTCTGGCGCGGACTGACGCTGACGGAACCTGTGCCACGCGCAGGCGCAGCAGCCACTGTCCCCTCCCGCGCGCCGTACGCGGAGCGCCGCCATCTTGAGCGTGGCCCCCACAGAAAACAGGCGAGTCCCATAGGGCGCCATCTTGGGTGCGGCGTGGGTGAGGACTGGCTCCCAGTTCCTCCTGGGAGGGCCTGTGGGTGCAGCCACCGTGAGCGAGGCCCTGATAGCAACAAAGCCGCACGGAAACAGTGGCTCTTGGAGCTGTGACCTGCCCTCATTCAGCGCCATGGTGTGTTAACTCTGAACCCTACTGATGGCGCTTTGCATGGAAAATGCTATTAACTATTCCATTGCTCGTCATTTCAGCAGGAACATTTCACTACCCTGGACTGGCCCTGGGGCTTGAGGGTAGTTAGGATATCAGAACTTCCCTGCCCAAAGCTGTCCCCTATGTTTGAATATGATCCATAAGTAAATATAATAATCATGTAACTGTCTTATTTGGATAATTGGCCATTGTAGTTATGACTGGCCTAAGGATGCCGCTTTACCTCACCTTCAGAGTTGCTCTTTTTGTGTGTTGCAGAACAAGATATTCCCAGCAGAATCCCAACATGGCGCATCGCAAGACATGCCTCTACCACTCAGAAGATCATGAGGTTTCCTGCAAATCGGTAATGCATGCTGGTATAACAGCATGGAGTGAAAACCCAATGCCATCCATCATGTCACTACATCTCAGTGCAATACCCTGGCCAATCTAATTCTATTAAAAAACTTAGACCAGACAAATGAGTTGAGAGCTAAATCCAACCCTTGGTATGAACGCAATTCCCCAACACTTAGCCCTCCTGTATGTTGGGGTTTGTCCCAGTTACAGCCACTGTTCTAGTTGCATCAGTCTAAATGTAATGTAGACACGTATAACTGCTATTTCCACTGATGCCATTTACCCAGTTGTTTAGCATGAATAAGCTGCACTGGGTCCCCTGTATTGGTTTTGCATTTTTGTATACTAGAAATTTGCACTGGGGAAGTTACACTGTTGAATATTAATGTTGAATGGCCATGATGACTGAAATCCCATATGCGTTCAAGGCCTTAGTCCCAATTCATCTGAGCCCCGCAGCACACTGCCCCACCCCCTCCTCTTGATTTCTGACAATGCAAATCCAACCCAGCTGTCTTTCTGCCTCCCGTTTTGGGATCTCTTGTTTAAACTACTCAGCATCCAATTAAGAGTTAGTCGGTGCAATTTACAAAAAGCCAGCAATGTAGAATGACATCCCCCTTCCCTTGTGCCCTATTCACTCCTCACTGTGATGCTTTGTTCTGCCATCTAACACACAGAAAAGGAAGTGACAAGGGGAGTGATATGATTAAAGCTAACGAGCTGCTGATTACCCAGCGAGAAAACAATTTCGGCGACTGTGTTTCATGAACCACATGTCTGCCTGAATCACTCAGTGAAAATAATTTCCCGGGCTGATAATAAGAGCCAGCTTCTTTGAATGACATTTTAGAGCCAAGTTACACATCATTTCTGTTCATGATGAGTTCCCACAGCAAACACAATGGTGGATGAAAGAAATGCACGGCAAACTACCCACTGTAATGTGTGTTCTAGGAAGGAGCTGTCAGGAGGAAGGCCAGATCTGTGGATCAAGCCTAGACGTCTTGATACCTGGGTTCTGCCACAGACGTTCCACGTAACCACTCTGGGCCCAATCCCACTTCCGATGACTTTAGCAGGAATCTGTGCTGAGGGTTAAAGAATGGGAGTTGTAGGCCCCCTCAGATCCTTACTCCCAGATGCCTAAATCCCTATTGACTAGTCTTAGGCCATGTCTACACTAGAGAGCTTACATTGGCACAGCTGGACCGATACAGCAGTGCCGCTGGAAAATGGCTCATGTAGACGCTCTATGCCAACAGGAGAGAGCTCTCCCGCCAGCATAATAAAACCACCTCCACGAGCGGCGGTAGCTATGTCGGCGGGAGAAACTTTCCCACCAACATAGTGCTTTGCACATTACAACTTATGCCGGCGAAATTTATGCCACTCGGGTGTGGTTTTTTTACACCCCTGAGTAACATAAGTTTTGCTGACATAAATGGTAACATAGACATGGCCTGAGTGTTACCAGGTCAATGCAGGTTGAGAATATGCAGTGCTAGGCCAATAGATCTCCCTTTGTCTCAGTATCCTCATTTGTAACATTTCTCAGCTACCTTCCAGGCTGGGGGCTGTGAAACTAAATTAATTAATATTTGTAAAGTGAGATCCTCAGATGGAAGCGTCAAAGTAATCATTACATGACTTATATGGTGTGTTATTGGGAATCGCAGGAACAGGTTTATCAAAGGTTACTGATATTATTTTGTATGGCTGAGCCGCATGAACCCAGAATGAGCTTCACCCAAAGCCTTTAATCTTCCACCCCTTTATGCTCCCACCTTCCATCCCTTGGCCCTCTCAGCCCTTTACTCTTCAAGGGAGTCAGATGGAAATGGGTGTCCATTTTGTCTCTGGCAGTGCCACCAGGGTGCATTAGTAAAGAAGTGATTCTCTTCCTTCTCCTTTGCTAGAACCTATATTATTGGGGATTCCCAACAAACCTATTTCAGGCATCCATTGTGTTACTTACGGCTGGTCTACTCTGGGAACTTACATCATCATAGCCATAGGCATAGACTCCATGGGTGCTCTGGGGCTGGAGCACCCACGGGGGAAAAGTGGTGGGTGCTGAGCACCCACCGGCAACACTCCTATTAGCTCCCTTCTTTCCCCAGCACCTCCTGCCTGCTGGCAGGCCCCGCCGATCAGCGCTTCCCTCTCTCTCTCTCCCCGCACCTCCTGCCCACCGTGATCAGCTGTTTCACGGCATGTCCGAGGCTCTGGAGGGGGGAGGGGGAAGGAGCGAGAGCGATGCACACTTGGGGGAGGGGGCGGAATGGGGCAGAAAGGTGGGGCAGGGGTGGGCGGAGGCAGGAAGAGGTGGGGTGGGGGCACGGACTTGGGAGAAGGGGTGGGGGCGGGAAGAGGTGGAGAAGGGTTGGGGCCTTGGGGAAGGGACAGAGTGGGGGCGGGGCCTGGCCAGAGCTGGGGGTCGAGTACTCCCCGGCACATTGGAAAGTCTGTGCCTGTGATCATAGATACGTCTCTCAGAGATGTGGAGAGATATACCTACGCCAGCCTAACCCCTGGTGCACACAGCACTAACTTGATGGAAGAATTCTTCCACTGACCTAGCTACCGCCTCTCGGGGAGGTGGATTACCTACATCAACAGGAGAATCTACACTGAAGTGCTGCAGGTGTACCACTGTAACGGTTTAAATATAGACTGTATTTACGGCAGTAGAAACCCCCTAGCATCTTCCATAGTTAAGAATCGTTCAGAATTTCTACCGTAAACTGGCAGAATACAATAAAGTAGCTGTGAGAAATCCCAGAGGGATGAAAGGTGACATATCTGTTAGTCAGGATATTTCAGTGAGTCGGCTAATGTGCCCTCTACTGGAAGGGATCAGAACTGCTCAACTATGTGTCATAACTCCTATACTGCATACCATGAATAATGGATAGAGCAATGGACTGGGATTCAGGGGACCTGGGTTCTAATACCCGGCTCTGTC